GAGAGTCAGAATTCGGGCCAAAAATGTCGCTCAAGAGTCAAATTTCTGACATTTCAGATATTTTAAAAACTGCAGGGGGGGTTTGGGCAAAATATGACCCATTGCCGTTTTCAGTAATTGGCATATTTTCGGTATAAAAATTCGTAATATGAAACTGAAAGTAGGTGCAGAGAGTCAGAATTCGGCTAAAAAATGACGCTCTGGAGTCAAATTTCCGACATTTATTGAGTGGTGCTATCAGCCGTTTTCCTAGATACTGGTGTCCGGGATAACACCAGTATCTAGACTGGTGCATAGGCATAATCCCTATTTCTACCTAGAAGTCCAGCGGGGTAAGAATGAGATCTGATATATGATTTGATGTTGGTTTTTACATTCATGAAAAATTCGTTTTGGTTATATGTTATCAGTGGGTTTAAGAGTTCACTGAAAACAGATTTGTAATGTAGACTCAGTATTTCACTAAATTCCTTGAAATATAAACATACAAAGAAGAGGAAAATTAATATTATAAGAAGATTACATACAATTATAAACGCATTAACCTATTAAAAAAATAATACAATGCTAGTCAACATAATGTTCAATCCCACCCCTTTCTACCGGAAGCAGACCGTATTATTATTATTATTGAGAGAATCCGGAGGAGCCGTGATGAGGGTTCGAACCTCATCACGGGTGGTTGGATGTTCATACGCAGCCTAGTCAACATGTTCCTCTGCAGCCTAGTCAACTAGGCGACGACGTGTGTAAAGAGATTGCAACCTGCAGCTCTGGTGAGCTCACAAACCCTTTGACCACATTCCAGGTTGCATTCCTTTTTTTTTTTACCATGTCGAGGCCTAGTTGACTAGTTTTGTACATGGAAACACCCGCCGCATTGGTTCGAACCTTCATCACGGCTCCTACGGATTTTCTCATTGACACATCATGTTAGTGTGATTACTCTCTGTATTATTATTATTATTATTATTATTATTATTATTATTAACTAATTTGTTGTTATAGTATTTTATGACTGGAACATGTGTAGTTTTATGCATATATTAATTACACAAATTGATGGACAATTAAGTAATAACAGTTATTTAGAAACATTCAGGAAATTTCGGGCTTTAGATAGGCTTATCGATATGAATACTTACGAGGCAACACTCTTGTATTCCTCTAAATTCATCTATTTTAGTTCTTTGTTATTGTATTTTTAACTGCATCTCAAATATATTTCTAGTTTTAGACCTTTTACTAATCACACTATATTAATGTTGGGAGATTTAAATATTTAAATTGCCGACATATTTTATGGGGTTATCTTGAAGAGACTATAATAATAGTATAATAAGAGTAATAGTGCTCAAAGTCTCGTTATTAGTTACATTTTTATTTGTATTATTAATACTAGTACTATTAGTAATCAGTTTCTTCTTTATCACGGTATGTAGCTCTTATCAGTCTCTCGCTGTTTGTGTGTGTATGCCAGTCAGTCTGTCAGTCTGTGGTGGGAACGGTGACATCACTGGCGGCGGCATTTCCCCCTGGCTGGGCCTCGCCCATATCACTGGCGGACTACACCTGCTCTTAATTTAATATATATAACTCGTGTCACCAGCCATCACTGGAGTATGCATCGTTGTGGGTGTGCAAGTTGCATTCTTGCACAGCATCGTTGCATTATATCGTAGAGGTGTTAAGTATATAGCGTAAACTAGTGCGTAGCCTATGGATAAACTATTTATTTTTTTAACTTACTGGTTGAAGAACTGTATTGTGCCTATTGTTTTAAATATGGATTGGATTGCTGTCGTTGTTGCGGGTGTCAGTCAGTCGAGAGGAAGTTTAATTATAACCTGACGTCCTCGTTCGCTACTCAGTAATTAATAATTTCCTATATATATATGGGGGCTATGGAGCGACATTTATGTTAGTCTACGGACCGGCATTTATGTTATTCTTCGTAGCGGCATTGTAGACACGTTCAATTACACTGTGTTCCACTGTACAGTACAGTCTATCCTCACTCAGTGAGTTTAATAACAAATTTAAAATCTATATAAAACAATATCCAGTGCCACCACAAAGATTATAAAAAATAATGAGTGTTTACTCACAATTCCCTACACTCATCTGTACTGAAGTGTATTTACTCATAATTCCCTACACTCGGCTGCTTTGTTCAGTGTGTTTACTCAGTTCCAGTCAGTTCCTCTACTGAACTCCTTGACCTTGTTAAATATCAAGTCACTGCACACTTTCAAGTGTAGTCTATATCTATAACGTTGAACGGGTTGAACACTCTGCACTACAATGACCTTCAACGCTTCCTAGAGCGCTGATCCACAGGCATCAAAAATGAAACAATATTTATCTGAAATTCCACGGGTGCCAAGTAAATAAAGTTGAGAAGCCTTGTAAAATAAGGATTCTAAACTGTGGAATGACCTCCCAAATTTCATCAAAAACTGTGCTGCCCTCAGTCAGTATATAAACGAGACTAAAAAATAACTAATTATTTTATTATATTAACTAATTATATTAACATTATGTAACCAGTTCTACCCATTTCCTTATTCTATATGTCAACCTGTGTATGTGAGCATTAATTACTATATTTGCACAGTTGGCAAAAAATACGGTAATTTCTAAATATCGCTTTAAAATTTTAAATAATTTTATAATTATCTTTTACAGCTTATCAATGTTAACTTCACGTTTGGTTTCAAGTATTGCTCAATTAAATTTGTAAATATATCAACTGTGGTTTCCTGTGCCTCAAAGTCATCACTTCAAGGACTTGAAAACTCCACCTGTAATGTTTGTGTGTTGAGGTGGGGGACCAGGCGCTGAAGCTCATTCCCTGAGTGCTGTCGACTGTAAGTGTAATCATGTGTTGTGCAGGTGTGGTGTCCGTACACACCTGTGCTTCATGCAACAGCTACAGCTACTCTTCTCTACCACCCCCACATCTGCTGTTACCACAACTACCACCAGCACAACCACCACCACAATCACTACCAACACCACCAGCCAAAAACTAACAACTATCACTGCCACCTGTACACCATAATCACCAAATAAATCTAAATATGTATAGCAACAAATGCAGTATTTATTTTATTATTTATTTATATACAAGAAGGTACATTGGGTTTGTGAGAATACATAGCATAGTATTTACAATCCTGTAAAGCCACTAGTACGCGCAGCGTTTCGGGCAGGTCCTTAATCTAACAGATAATTTTAAGTAGGTAAAGTTTAAGTATGAAGCAGAAGCATCATGCGAGCGTCAGCTTGACACGTATGCAGGCGAGGTCACACATGCTGGATCTCCATGAATGATAAATACTGAACCAGGCAATAACATGAGGCTAGCGGCGATCACTATCAGCTCTCAATAACTTTCGTTCAATATCACTCCTCTATAGATGTCGTGTTTATAACTATTATAGGTTCTGTAAATAACTAAAACAAAAAATCGTTCGTATTCTTCGAGTTGGCAACAGTGTGAGAGGAATAATGGTGCAATATCGCTAATCTACGTCATATAATAATGGTGCAATACCGCTAATCTAAGTCACAGAATAATGGCACAATATCGGTAACTAACGTCACAGAATAATGACGCAATATCTGTAACTAACGTCACAGAATAATGGCGCAATATTGGTAACTAACGTCACAGAATAATGGCGCAATATCGGTAACTAACGTCACAGAATAATGGCGCAATATCGGTAACTAACGTCACAGAATAATGGCGCAATATCGGTAACTAACGTCACAGAATAATGGCGCAATATCAGTAACTAACGTCACAGAATAAGGCGCAATATCGGTAACTAACGTCACAGAATAATGGCGCAATATCGGTAACTAACGTCACAGAATAATGGCGCAATATCGGTAACTAACGTCACAGAATAATGGCGCAATATCGGTAACTGACCTCACCAAATATGACAAACACACTACATATTCATCCTGTGAGGTGAATATTTTATTGTAAATCCCAAGATCATCCTGTGAGCAGTTTATTGTGCACCCTATTCTCATTCTGTGAGCGGTAGTTTATTGTGTATTCTATACTCATCTGGTAAGCGGTAGTTTATTCTTTATTGTACGTTCACCTCTATGCAATGTATTCGTACTGGCTTAGCGCTTTCTCCAGACCTTGCCTTGCTGAGTCTTCAAGCATTGTAGTAGAAAGAATACTATCGTTTAATGTATTTAATCTACCCTATCTTATAAGTCGAATAAGTGTTCCAGTTCCTTACTCTTATATGTAAGCATCCCCCAATTTTAGGATTTTATCATAGAAAATGTGATTATTCGGGAACAAAGAAAATTAGCATAAAGTTAGGGGTGACTAATTTGTTTTACTTCGGTATGGCATAATTAAGTACGGTATAGTCTATCATGTCGGTGCACATGGCTTGTCGAAATTCACATATCCAAATAAAAGTTTATGTCCATACATTTATTACCGAGACCCATTGGTCCTTTAGCTGACATCCCCGTAGAATCCCTGTTAGGGATTATAATAGCAATAAACATGATATATTTGCATAATTTTTTTTTTTTTGGGGGGGGGGGGAACTTTGACTATTTGCATTAGGAAAACTAAAGATATTTTGGAAAATTCCTTCCTACAGATCCTTTATTATATGCTAATGTGACAGAAAAGTGCCATAGAATGATTATATCTGAAAAGTGTGGTTGTTTATAAACACTTGAAAATGTGTAATATTTTTTTTTTTTTTTTGAGATATATACAAGAGTTGTTACATTCTTGTACAGCCACTAGTACGCGTAGCGTTTCGGGCAGGTCCCTGGAATACGATTCCCGCCGCGAAGAATCGTTTTTTCATCCAAGTACACATTTTACTGTTGCGTTAAACAGAGGCTACAGTTAAGGAATTGCGCCCAGTAAATCCTCTCCGGCCAGGATACGAACCCATGACATAGCGCTCGCGGAACGCCAGGCGAGTGTCTTACCACTACACCACGGAGACTGTAAATTGACTATTCGTTGAAAAAAATTAAAAAACTATCTTTCTATTTAGGCTGCAGTACTGAAACTTAGAACAATTGCAACCCTTTTCATATACAACTAGTCAAAAAAGATTTATTGACTCGAGGCCACTGACAGATCTTGATGCTACCCACAACAGTAGCCTATAACTCCCAGATACTACATCAGCAGATGTTACAAATTCCCAAAGGTACTTGTAGCCGAGCCTAAGCCTAGTAGTGGTGACATCTAGAAGTCTGCTAACCTTATTGGATGAACCATAGTCGTGCGGTACGTCCTGCATAATAGAATGATGATAGATGGAGTGACTGGCGTGAATTTCACTTTGCCTCAAGTCTCCGAAATTTAGTTGATGTTCTCGGAATATTGCTGCCCGGTACTATATATAGTACTTGGTACTATATATAGTACGTGCTATACCTCTCCACACCTCTCCACACCGTGTTATACCTCTCCACACCATGCTATACCTCTCCACACCGTGCTATACCTCTCCACACCATGCTATACCTCTCTACACCTCTCCACACCGTGTTATACCTCTCCACACCATGCTATACCTCTCCACACCGTGCTATACCTCTCCACACCATGCTATACCTCTCTACACCTCTCCACACCGTGCTATACCTCTCCACACCATGCTATACCTCTCTACACCTCTCCACACCATGCTATACCTCTCCACACCGTGCTATACCTCTCCACACCGTGTTATACCTCTCCACACCATGCTATACCTCTCCACACCGTGCTATACCTCTCCACACCGTGTTATACCTCTCCACACCATGCTATACCTCTCCACACCGTGCTATACCTCTCCACACCGTGCTATACCTCTCCACACCATGCTATACCTCTCCACACCGTGCTATACCTCTCCACACCATGCTATACCTCTCTACACCTCTCCACACCATGCTATACCTCTCCACACCGTGCTATACCTCTCCACACCGTGTTATACCTCTCCACACCATGCTATACCTCTCCACACCGTGCTATACCTCTCCACACCATGCTATACCTCTCCACACCGTGCTATACCTCTCCACACCGTGCTATACCTCTCCACACCATGCTATACCTCTCCACACCATGCTATACCTCTCCACACCATGCTATACCTCTCCACACCGTGCTATACCTCTCCACACCATGCTATACCTCTCCACACCGTGCTATACCTCTCCACACCATGCTATACCTCTCCACACCATGCTATACCTCTCCACACCGTGCTATACCTCTCCACACCATGCTATACCTCTCCACACCGTGCTATACCTCTCCACACCATGCTATACCTCTCCACACCATGCTATACCTCTCCACACCGTGCTATACCTCTCCACACCGTGCTATACCTCTCCACACCATGCTATACCTCTCTACACCGTGCTATACCTCTCCACACCGTGCTATACCTCTCCACACCGTGCTATACCTCTCCACACCGTGCTATACCTCTCCACACCGTGCTATACCTCTCCACACCGTGCTATACCTCTCCACACCGTGCTATACCTCTCCACACCGTGCTATACCTCTCCACACCGTGCTATACTTCTCCACACCGTGCTATACATCTCCACACCGTGCTATACCTCTCCACACCATGCTATACCTCTCCACACCGTGCTATACCTCTCCACACCGTGCTATACCTCTCCACACCGTGCTATACCTCACTACACCATGCTACACCTCTCCACACCGTGCTATACCTCTCCACACCATGCTATACCTCTCCACACCATGCTATATCTCACTACACCATGCTATACCTCTCCACACCGTGCTATACCTCTCCACACCGTGCTATACCTCTCCACCTAGAATATATGGAGTATATGTAGGTGCACCCAGTGTGGTGTATATGTAGGTGTACTCAATATGTAAGTAGATGATGTAACTTTCAGTTCCTGGCGACGCATATAGAAGCCCTTGACGGGTTCTAGACGCGTGCGACACACACGCGGGGTGTGGATCGTTACCCCCTCACACGGTACCAGTTTCACCAATATCACCCGATATTTTACAAAAAAATATGCAAAAACACTAAACGAAGACATTTTATATGATGACATTTCGATCAAAACCGGTTTTATTAGTTAAAACAGGGAAAAAAGGGGAGGCAGTATTGATTGTTTGAATTAAGGAGGAAGGAAACTTGGCATCTGGGGCGAGGCTGTAAGGCCACGTCACCAGAGTCAATATAACCTCCCGCAGCATCTCTGGCGGCTTATACAGCCTCATACAGTCTCAGCCTCAACACGTGTCCACGGCAAGGTCAGTGGGAACATTTGCCAGGAGTGTCATATGTATATATACTATTTAGTACACACAGTAGTGTATTTACTGCGCTACTTGTACTGTATTTAATACACGTAGAAATCAAAGTATTGTAATATATCACGTTACTGTGATTTGTGTTTAAAAGTGGGGCATCAGAGGTAAAAAAATTCATGGACGATGGAGCCAGAGTGCTAAGGGCTTGCTCCACCTTTGCCGCGGATCGGCCCGCTATTGCAGTGCATGAGGGGGGGGGGGGAATGTGTGTGAAACCCTAGCATGGCTTCAATGGAAGCCTCTGGAACCCTCGTGGGTTCATCAGAACCCCAGGTTGCAATTCTTTTGACCATGTCGAGGGTCTACTCTAGAACGTGTGACTGAGAACACCCAGCACATAAGCTCAAATGCTATTGTGAATTTTCTCTACCTTTTATTAGGCAGTGCATGGGTGGGGTCGCACGATGAATGATTTAGTGACCCGAAAGCATTATTAACTTGTGTCCTTTAAGTCTTAGGAGACAATTTCAAGACATGTATACTATATTTCGTTAAAAGAAAGATAGAGATATAGATATATACTGTATATATATATAGTTGTTGTCCCCTAGTTGTGCTTGTGGGGGGTTAAGTTCTGGCTCTTTGGTCCTGTCAATCAACTGATGTACAGGTTGCTGAGCCTATTTGACGCTATGCCGGTGTGTGTTATGTAAATATAATTATTTCCAATGTATATTAAATCTTGCCATCTATTCCAGATAACACAATCATGGATGCTGTGACATTTTTAATTGGCGGAGCTCTTGCTATCGCAGCTGTTCCTGTTGTATTACCAGGTAAGGTTACTCTCACCGTGTTGGGGACTGGCTAGTTAACCCTTATGGGTCTTGTTAAAGTTCCTAAAACGGATTAGATAGGGCAGGAAGGCTGCCTTCTTCCTCATTTTGGCTAGTTATATATTAACCAGAAAGATTAAAAGCTTTAAAAATATGATGCCAAAGAAAAAGAGCATGGACAATAAAGGGCAAGGTAATTTCATTTAATTGTCTAAATATTGAACAAAGTCTACTATTATCCAAATAGATCTAATACTCAGTGTAAGCATAACTGAAAAATTACTAAGTCTACACAACTAATAAACTTTATATCACTAGGGTTAGTTGTATAGTCTGTAGTACTTTTTAAACCAATATGTCCCATGCTCTGCAATCTTATCACTTTAGTATTAACTTTCTATCAATATCTTGCTGAATGTACATGTCTGGTTTTAAATCTCCGTGGTGTAGTGGTAAGACACTCGCCTGGCGTTCCGCGAGCGCTATGTCATGGGTTCGTATCCTGGCTGGGGAGGATTTACTGGGCGCAATTCCTTAACTGTAGCCTCTGTTTAACGCAACAGTAAAATGTGTACTTGGATGAAAAAACGATTCTTCGCGGCAGGGGATCGTATTCCAGGGACCTGCCCGAAACGCTACGCGTACTAGTGGCTGTACAAGAATGTAACAACTCTTGTATATATCTCAAAAAAAAAAAAAAAAAAAAAAAAAAAAAGGCCCTAAACTATTTTAGGCTTATAATTACTTGATAAGCAAAAGAAATTTGAAATCATATGAAATTACAACTCTAAACAGCGAGTATCTTTATATAAATAAGCATGTGATCTACAGATGTTTTATTCTCATATGGTAAATTTTCAAAACTCAATTTAGTATCTGATGTTCCCTGTTTTCTGTGTAGTCTATTGTAAGGTTGTTCGTGGTAGGGGGGATTAATAACAATGATTTGTCACATATAAACACAATTCTTACCACATATACTATGCTACATGAACTAAGTAAATTTGCTTAAAAGAAAAATATGTTAACTAACCAGTACAATACAAACTTGTCATAAATCAAACAATATTTTAACAAAATAATGAACAGACTTGTTTCAATACTGCAGTATAAATTTTACTAGCTTTCCTCTGCCTATTCTTATAACCTTTCCAGATATTTGCTTGTTTTCGATGAAACATGACCCAATATAGGAATTGAAAGCTTATAATGGTATTGATATCCTCAGCCATTGGGTTCACTGCTGCAGGGATATCTGCAGGTTCAATGGCTGCCTCAATGATGTCGAGTGCAGCAATTGCCAACGGTGGGGGTGTTGTAGCAGGTGGACTGGTAAGTACAATAGTGAGAGCCTGTCTTTTCAACTAATTAGTCATTGGATCATTTTGTTTATCTAATTAGATACCTGTTTTTGTTTTCCTAGTGAATCTGATAACCCTTAATTGCTGGGAGAATATACTAAAAATAGTCTTATTTGATTTTATATGATGTATTAATAGTAATATAATACAGGTAATACTATTCATGTCTACATCTATTATATCTGAATATTGTGCACTGGTACAAAGGTATACATATCTATTCTCCAATACAATTGTTAGTGCTAGAGGTTCTATATATTATTCCATTATATTTTATACGCTTTCCTTCTGTTGTGTCAGTTTGTTACACAATTATTTTAACTTGGCTCTGTGCTAATTGTATTTGTGTGTCTCAGTTTTGATTCCCTCTTGACTACATTTTAAATAAATAAATAAATATGTTTATTCAGGTAAGGTACATACATACAAGTGATGTTACATAAATGGATCAATATATAGATAGAGCTAGTACATACAATGCCTAAAGCCACTATTACGCAATGCGTTTCGGGCAGGAAAAACATTAATATCTAGAACTTAATACTAATTGAGCATAAAGAATAAAATGTGTTGAGAACAAATACAAATAAAGATAAAAAAAAGGGGGGGAACATGACTGAAAAGCAGCACAAATACAATAGGTTGACAAACAGTGTTCATTAAGAAAAAAAATAACATACATGGGTTGACAATAGAGGGGTAAGGTAGGTTACAGGGAATTTATTAGGTAGTGTTTAGTTTTTATCTTAAACTGGTTGAGAGAGGTACAGTCTTTAACATGGTTGGGAAGGTCATTCCACATTCTGGGTCCCTTGATTTGTAGAGCATTTGTAGTTTGATTAAGTCGTACTCTAGGAATATCAAAACTGTATTTATTTCTGGTGTAGTGCTCATGGGTTCTGTTACAACCTTCTATGAAGCTTTTGAGATCAGGATTGGCATTATAGTTTAGCATTTTACATTTATCATACTGTACACCGATACTTTGTATGAATATATGAAGATATTCTTGTGCTGTACCAAGATTTTAATAGATCAGCCTCACATTTCATGTGCTCTCATGATTCCATATATGAAAAACCATTCTCTGAGACAGGGATATAAGATGAACTTATAGCTAGTTTTTGATCTACACTGTGTAATCTTTTACATAGAATAGGGTAGCAGCACATTGCTGTGTATGCCCAAGCTTGTTAATGGAAAAAATTAATCTGCTTATTCAGACCATAGTTCCTTGTTTTCTCATTTCTAGTTTAATTCTTATTAGTGATTTAATACAGATAGAACTTTGTTCCATCAGATTTGTGTGATGGTATGATAATTAGTACCTATTATTTATTGCAGGTCGCTACGATGCAGAGCGCTGGAGCTGCCGGCTTGGGTGTTGCAGGAAAAGCTGCAATAGCCGCTACTGGGGGCCTTATTGCAAACGCACTGTAAGGCTAAAGAGTTAAACTATTGCATGGAATCATTGGCACTTGACATCCTGTTCCATTGGTGCTTTGTTCAGTATATTATAGTAATGTAACAAAAAATAAAATTGTATGACCTTAAGAAGTCTCTTATAAATAAAAGAGAGATAATTGTTTAAGTAAGCCTCCAACATACTTCACTGTTGTATTATGCAAAAGTAAAGCTTTAAACTGACATTTCATCATCAGTATGTCTTAAAACTGAATACACATATTGGGCTCCAGGACATATTTGCAATATAACACTGCAACCCTAATTTTGAATCAAAAGGGTGCGGAATATAGGCATCAGGTGTAAGGAAATTGACTACCTGTTTCTGTCTACTGTACCTGGATGTTATCTTAGAGATACCTATACTTTTAAGCTTTACTAATTTCTGTCACCATCTGCATTTTGAGAACTTAATTGCTATAGATAATTACTGGCTACAGAATAAACCAAGCAACACACAAGGGAATGATTATTCCCTTGTGTGTGCACATTAAACTAGCTTTTTTTTATCTGTAATTATCCATATACCATGAACGTAATTATTGCAATGACATCAATCATTATATGGAGGCCATAATAATAGCGCTCCTGCTGGTAACAAGGGTTACTAACTTTCAGGTTGCCAGTTATGACATTATAGTCTACCAGGGGGAGTGGCGTGTCTGGTCTCACTCATACTGTAAACAAACGGTGCCATTTGTGTCCATCTCCACCGGGGAGGGGGGCGGGAAGGTCGGCCATCTTGGCGCGCGGATTGAACGCTCCTGGCTGGACTTTCTTTCCACACCTTACCTGGAACTCATCTTTAATTCAGCTGGCTTCTTTGGGCCAGTGTGTGCTCACTGCAGCTACCCAGGGGCTCACAGGACCGGGGGAGGCCGGAGCCTCCCAAATGGACGCCTCCCCGAGCGGGGGCGCCATGGATGTTGACAGCAAGTCCCAGAGAGGAAAACGTCTGCTAGAAGATGAGTCGGCTGATGCTGCCCCAGAGCGAGATGCTAAGAGGATATCCTCCCCTTCAGAAGACCTTAGTCTTGTGGTACCCCGTTCCTCGTTTGTGGTAGTCCTAATCCAGTCAGAATCAGGTCAGTGCGTCTTTGCAAATCCTCGTACCTTAGGTGCAGCAATCGAGGCTTCCGTATTGTGGCCACATTGCCTGCCTGAGACCATACGTACCCTGGGTAGGGGTGCAGCACTCAAGCTACATATCAGAAAGGAGGCTCTATCACACATCTGTGTATCCGACATTAATAAGTTGGGGGACTGGCCTGTCAGGTGCCGACAGGTATTGTCGCAGGAGGAGGAGTCTCGGGCCCGGTATGGGAAGATTGGCCCAATTGACCAGAGTGTAGATGTGGATGACATCCAGGCCGCTCTGCAGGTATTAGGGGGTGCATCAGTGAGATTATTGGAAGTTACCAGGATTCGCGGAGCAGCAGGGCCGACATCCATGGTCCGTGTAAAGTTCGATGGGCACCTCCCTGACCGAGTGGCACTACACAGGATCTCGTATCAGGTTCAGCCCTACAATTTCCCTGTTTTACGATGTTACGCTTGTCATCTATTGGGCCACAGTCGCCTGACCTGCCGTAATACAGCACGGTGTGCAAACTGCGGCAAAACTGGCCATTCAGACAGAGATGACGGTGGGTGCTCTGCTGCACCCCGCTGCTTTTTATGCCATGGCCATCATAAGGTTACGTCTAAGAGTTGCCCTGTATATCTTGAGGCCCTCCAGTTGGACATCGATCACAAAACAGCGGGGACACCTCGACATGAGCTGTTCCAGAAGTTGCGTACCCTCAATCAGCCTATCGCTTCTTCTCGCCTCCAGGTTCCCCCTGGTCGGGCCTCTTCACAAGTAGGAACTAGCAGACGCTCTTGCCTGTCCCAGTCACATGCCACATACGCCCAGGTTGCTAATCGATTTTCCCTCCTGGGTAGCCTTGACACTGACGGAAACTCATCCACGGATACAGACATGGACGCTCAGTCTCGGCCGGAGCCTAGCACTCGTCACCCTCCTGCCTTTCCTCAAAGAAGCCAACACCGGCGTCGTCGACACACCCATCGATCAGGAGGTACTGCTCCAACAGACAGCCCTGATGATCCTCTGGTCCCCCAGGCACTTTCCGAAGGGATTGTGACACCGGGGGAACATGAGGCCCAGAGTGAGGCTCCCACCAGTCGCAGACGCCGTCAAGAGAGTTCGCGAGCCGACCACCGCTTCCGTCAGGCAGAGAGAAACATAGATCAACATCCTCTTGACTGGAAGTCATTGATACCACATATTTTACTTACTTTGTATGAAGGTTTTATGGCTTTTTCTAGTGGTTCCCCCTTTGGAGACGTCTGTGCACTGGTGGTCAAAAAGTTAGCTGTTGTATTTCAGGGATAATGGCGCCCCATCCTGAGAATACTGTGGTGTTTTGGAATGCCCGCTCCCTTTTTAAGAAGACGCAATTTTTACGCAATTTTATCGTCGTCATCATTCTCGACTCCTCGACACTGCCATCACTCGTCTCCGGATTGGGCACACTTGCCTGGCCGCACATCTCCATCGTCTACGGCTGGTAGATTCCCCATATTGCCAGTGGTGTCCGACCCAGGAGGATACAGTGGAGCACCTTCTACTTCACTGCCCTCGATTTCATAGCGCTCGCGTCAGACTACAGAGTTCCGTTCGTAGGCTGAATATTCCCCGCCTCACAGTTCCCGTTCTCCTTGACGGGGCAGGTGCGAGAGACGAAGACGTCCGTCATGACATCCTTCGCCATACCTTCCGCTTCATCCGTCATGTCCGCGGCCTGAAGAGACTGTAAAATTTGTCGCCTGAGGAGATTGTAGGGTCTGTGGCCTGAAGAGACTATAGGGGCCCCATCCCTTCGCTATTTCCCGGTATCGGGCAGCCGGGGCGCATCCGATCCCACGATCGTCGTCGCCCCTAAATCAACACAACAACAACAACATCTCCACCGGGGAGGTTCGGGCGGGAAGGTCGGCCATCTTGGCGCGCGGATTGAACGCTCCTGGCTGGACTTTCTTTCCACACCTTACCTGGAACTCATCTTTAATTCAGCTGGCTTCTTTGGGCCAGTGTGTGCTCACTGCAGCTACCCAGGGGCTCACAGGACCGGGGGAGGCCGGAGCCTCCCTAATGGACGCCTCCCCGAGCGGGGGCGCCATGGATGTTGACAGCAAGTCCCAGAGAGGAAAACGTCTGCTAGAAGATGAGTCGGCTGATGCTGCCCCAGAGCGAGATGCTAAGAGGATATCCTCCCCTTCAGAAGACCTTAGTCTTGTGGTACCCCGTTCCTCGTTTGTGGTAGTCCTAATCCAGTCAGAATCAGGTCAGTGCGTCTTTGCAAATCCTCGTACCTTAGGTGCAGCAATCGAGGCTTCCACATTGCCTGCCTGAGTCCATACGTACCCTGGGTAGGGGTGCAGCACTGAAGCTACATATCAGAAAGGAGGCTCTATCACACATCTGTGTATCCGACATTAATAAGTTGGGGGACTGGCCTGTCAGGTGCCGACAGGTATTGTCGCAGGAGGAGGAGTCTCGGGCCCGGTATGGGAAGATTGGCCCAATTGACCAGAGTGTAGATGTGGATGACATCCAGGCCGCTCTGCAGGTATTAGGGGGTGCATCAGTGAGTTTACCAGGATCAGTGAAGTTACCAGGATTCGCGGAGCAGCAGGGCCGACATCCATGGTCCGTGTAAAGTTCGATGGGCACCTCCCTGACCGAGTGGCACTACACAGGACCTCGTATCAGGTTCAGCCCTACAATTTCCCTGTTTTACGATGTTACGCTTGTCATCTATTGGGCCACAGTCGCCTGACCTGCCGTAATACAGCACGTTGTGCAAACTGCGGCAAAACTGGCCATTCAGACAGAGATAACGGTGGGTGCTCTGCTGCACCTCGCTGCTTTTTATGCCATGGCCATCATAAGGTTACGTCTAAGAGTTGCCCTGTATATCTTGAGGCCCTCCAGTTGGACATCGATCACAAAACAGCGGGGACACCTCGACATGAGCTGTTCCAGAAGTTGCGTACCCTCAATCAGCCTATCGCTTCTTCTCGCCTCCAGGTTCCCCCTGGTCGGGCCTCTTCACAAGTAGGAACTAGCAGACGCTCTTGCCTGTCCCAGTCACATGCCACATACGCCCAGGTTGCTAATCGATTTTCCCTCCTGGGTAGCCTTGACATTGACGGAAACTCATCCACGGATACAGACATGGACGCTCAGTCTCGGCCGGAGCCTAGCACTCGTCACCCTCCTGCCTTTCCTCAAAGAAGCCAACACCGGCGTTGTCGACACTCCCATCGATCAGGAGGTACTGCTCCAACAGACAGCCCTGATGATCCTCTGGTCCCCCAGGCACTTTCCCAAGGGATTGTGACACCGGGGGAACATGAGGCCCAGAGTGAGGCTCCCACCAGTCGCAGACGCCGTCAAGAGAGTTCGCGAGCCGACCACCGCTTCCGTCAGGCGGAGAGAAGCATAGATCAACATCCTCTTGACTGGAAGTCATTGATACCACATATTTTACTTACTTTGTATGAAGGTTTTATGGCTTTTTCTAGTGGTTCCCCCTTTGGAGACGTCTGTGCACTGGTGGTCAAAAAGTTAGCTGTTGTATTTCAGGGATAATGGCGCCCCATCCTGAGAATACTGTGGTGTTTTGGAATGCCCGCTCCCTTTTTAAGAAGACGCAATTTTTACGCAATTTTATCGCCAGCGCACCACCGTTGATCGTGGGACTCTGTGAGACTTGGCTGACAGACGATCTTTCCTTCACAGTGCCGGGGTATTCTGTCTATAGACAAGATCGGCCAGTACGGGGTGGAGGGGGACTTGCCCTCTTGGTCAGGGACTCAGTTCCCAGCTCCTTACTCCGGATTCACTCCTTCCCGGGTGGACATTTAGAATTCATGGCAGTGAAGGTCGCCCTCTCCCATGGGTGGGGCACCTTTGGAGTTCTGTATAACCCCTGTCTACCGGTAACGAAGAAGGAACTAGAACACTATTTTGGTCAGATCACAGACACCTGCCTCGTCATGGGTGACTTTAACGCTCGGCACTCATCATGGCAACCCATGCTATC